ACTCCATCATCGACTCCCTCGCAAAATGATGGGAAACAAAGACAGTGAACTTCTAAATCCTCTCAGGTTCTGCAAGGCAGGCCTCTAGTGTGGCCTAATTATGAACAAAGGTTAGAACTGGCCCTCTGTTCCCAGATGCACATTTTGGACTCACGTGTATTTGGCCTCATCAAATTGCTTAAGGAGGTGTGTGACTCTTCAATCCATCAGCTTTGCTTTTGTGTCATTAGCCATTTATATCCACACAACAATCAAGGGATAGGCAACGTGGGTTTTACAGAGGAGAAAACTAATCCTTGGAGAAATTGGACTCTTGTTCAAGAGTTTCTCCAGTTTCAGGGTCCTGTGTCACAACTCTGGTTTCAAGAAGATGGTGAATCAGTCTCTAGTTTTTTGGAGACAACTTTTGTGGCATATCTGAACTCCCTCTATTTATTTCATATGCAACCAACAAAACTGTTTGCTTCAGGAGAGCTTCATATGCTAATATAGTACGCAGGGGGACAAGCAGAAAGAGGATCAGTTACAGTGAGTACAACACGTGGTGGTGTCTAGACACTGAGTGGAGATGGACTAGGCACTTTTCTCCTATTTCATGTCTGGACACCAGTTGCTGAGCAAATTGGGATAGGAGGGTAGTTTATTAAAGTGTACCTGCGGGGTGAAGATTAAGAGCACCTAGGGCCTTTCAGAGGACCTGAGTTTGATTCCCAGCACCCAAGTGGCAGCTTACTACTGTTTGCAACTCCAGTTCTAGAAGACATGAAGCCTCCTTCTGGCCAACATAGGCACTAGGCATGCAAGTGGTACACAGACATACACGTGGGCAGAATACCCATAGAGCTAAATAAATAAATAAATAAATAAAAATTTCAAGTGCACCTGTTCCAGAAAATAATGTGAAGACTGGGAGCTACAAACTCTCAGCATCAGCTACTAGGAACAGTTTCTGACTACGGGATTTAAGGTAGGAATGTAAAGAAAATCAAAACATGCTGGCCATTTCTGCCCTGTAGATTACATATTATTATTTTATGGCATCCAGTTTACTGTCAGGAATGTCTAAGGTCACTGTATCTTTGATTGTCATATTTGAACCACTGGCCTGGCATTCAGATATCTTTCAGGATAGTTAAGGTACTGATTGCTTTTGTTTTAAGCACACTCCTGAATTATATTTTTTATTCTAATTCTGATTTTACAAGCAAAACACAGTATGTAGTTATTATTTACATTCATTCAAACAAAGCTAGTCATGCTAACATGGGCTTGTCATCCCAGTACTGGGAAAGTAGAGGCGGAGGAACAGGAGCTCAAAGCCATCTTCAGCATCATGGTGAGTTTGGAGTACTCTTAGCTTTTTAGAGCCTGACTTACATGAAAATGAAAATAAAGTGCATTCAAACTGTACAGATGCTTGTTTATTTTTTTACACAGTCACATCAAGAAAATAATTGTAACTTGCAAATGCATTGACTACACTTAACCATTTTAACTTCATTCAGTCCACTAAAAATAGATTACGTCTCCTTGGGATTTTGTGGCTAACTGGGGGCTCTGGCCAGCTGCTGTTGCCTACCATTCCAAGAGAGTATCTTAGTACATACATGCGAAGGAAAGCTTCTATTGAATGCATGTCACTTTTGCACCATGGTAAAGTAAAACAAAACAAAACAAAACACGGATGCACCATTGTACGTTTGAGAATGTCTATATAAAGAAAACACACATACTTGGAGGTCTTAATTTGCATTATTTATTCCCATGATCACTCTTTCAGTTTGCTGAGTTAGCTGTATGTAATTTCAGTGTAAACACACACACACACACACACACACACACGAGTGTGCGAGTGCACACACAAGATATTTTTTCACCTAAAAATGTGTCAAGGTGTGCTCTTACTTTAGCATATGGGAATGCACATGATTGTTTTTACCTGAGGGATATTTAAGCTATCTTTTATATGATATTTACACTCTTACATTAGATTAGACAATGAATATTTTTGAACATATATCTTGATATGCTGTCTTGAAGATATCTATAAACATTTTCCTTGACTTAGAATTGCTAGATAAAGCAACATATACCTTTTTTTATTTGATAAGTCTTACTCACTTGTCAATCTCATCAATTGTATGGTATTATGAGAATGTGCAGTGTTTCCTTTATTTAGGATTTGACTGACGTGACGACACTAACTGTTTTACTTATATTATAAAAGTCCAACTTTGGCTATCTCTCTTGTCTTGTAAATCAGAGACTTGTAAATCATAGGTGTGGTTTGGTTGCTAGGAACTAACACAGAAACACAAACTTAAAATGGAAAATTTGAGCAAAATTAGTCATTTCTGATGGCACATCACTTTTGGTACCACAATGTCAAAACAAAAAGTTTAGTTGTACCATCAAAATTAAGTGACCATCTCCGTTTGTATATAAAAGAAACACTCATATGTTCTCATCTCCCAAACATACTCTTAAATTGCCTCATAGTATGACTGAACGGTCCTAGAAGACAGAGAAGAAAGCCTGGTTTATATAACCATGTACTTCTATGATGCAATGTGCTGGTGACTTCAAAGCACTGAGATTCCACTGTCCATACTATGAAATTCAGATCACAATGCTTGCTGGGGTAAATTGTTGTGAGTATTGTGAGAATTTACTGCCGAGATATAAAGGTTTGTAATCTGAGAAATATGATACACATCCCAAGTGGTTATTAAGGTCATATCCTTAAACCAGGGAGATTCTATGCAAGGGAGAAGATAGTGGGAGTTAGGAAAAAATTACACAGATATGAAACATTAAGCTTGTACGGTTCATAGCCCTTTCCTCTTGCTCTATATTTTTGGAGAACAAACCGCACTAGCAAAAGTCCATCTTTTGATACGAAGAATAATGTAGGTTATCACCTTTTTACATGAGGGTCCAAGTCTTTCCTTCTAGGCTTACAGCCTTGTTTGAATGACATTACTATGCTTCCATTTGTCAAGTACCTAATAGGATTTTGCCCCTCCCCACACTTAGTTGCTGTAATCACTGGGGAGAGAAGAAATACACACACAAAATGTTTAAATAACCATGTGAAGTGACTGCATAAATAGCTCCAAGTTATAGCTGAGGTATATGTGAGGATTAAAGTGAAATCAAATACCTTTTAATTACAATTTAAATCAATACCTCAGAAACCGTAGTTGAATCATTACCAGGAAAATCCTGTTACGCTTCTTTGTTTGTTTTTTTTAAGTATTTTAGTTTGAAAGAACCCAACATAAATGCAATTTACAAATAAGATACGTTACCATTAAGTAAATGACATTTACATCAGTGTTTTTTAGATTACTTCCACCATTATGTGTTAAAAAACAATCAATGCGATGTAGTTACTTTTTTAACCCTAAAGTTAATTAAAAAGATATCTGTAAAGTCATTGTAAGCAGAATCATTCTGATTTCAACCTATTAATCAAGAATGGGAGAGAGAGTCTGTGTTGCTTTGGAACACCGGGATGTGTTTTAAAAGCTATTCAAAAATACTGTATTTTAAAACAAGCCTTACCTTGGATACGTTTTCCTTATAAGGCCAGTGCATATTCTCATAGCCATTGATACTATGCTTAATTTTCATTAAGTGTACACTTCAGCATATTAAAAAATCCATGAACTTTGTACTTAGATTTAAACATGAATCCCAGTTCTACTACTTTCAACCGTCTTCATCAATACTTATGGATGAATAAATATGTATTTTTATTGAAAGAAAATGCTGCAAATTCATACATAAGAATGGTTTGGATCATGTCGGCTTGTTGAGTGTCTGTTGTCCTTCTCCTTATTTTGTAGGAGATTGATCACTGCTCTCTCCTAGTTCCTGATGTTATTCAAAGTGAATTAATTCTCACCCCCACCCCCACTTTCCCAGCTATCTGAGTGATTTTCTCTTGTCAATCCAGAGATCATTCGCATGGCTCTTCCTCAGAGGATATGAAAAAAGGTGAAATTCAGTTTGGGTGTTAAAATGCATTGTGTGGTAATTGTGAAGAAATGGATGTTGCTTCTTACGCAGTGTTGAGAAAATTAAATCAAAGAGGCATCAGAAAGAGTCATTGTTCATTTTGGCCATTCACTTTTGCAATGATACGTTTATCGTTATTTTCAAAAAGTTTAAAAGTAGAGAACAAAATAGCCTATAATCCCAGTACTTTAACCTAACCGTTACAATTTTGTGTTCCCTCCCTTCTGTGTTGGGAGGTAAATTTTACATCATTATAGTTAGAACATACATACTATTGTGCAGCCTATTGTCTCATTGCAGAGATTTGACATAATTTGTATGTTCTGCCAAAATTCTAGGGAGTAAATTCTAGGGAGTATGGATGTGGGTGCAAGAGGTGATGATTTTCAGAGGTAGATTTTAAATGGCTTAGGACACCTGTAAAAATTTGAAGCTTCTCGTAAAGACAAGAGAAGGCTTTAGGAAAAAGATGGCAAGGGGATTTGTGTGAAATCAATGCACTCAATTGGAAGAATAATTATTCCTTTTGCATAATGCTACCTGTTTTAAAATGTATGTTTCATGTGCAGAAAACTATTTTTCCTGTTTAAATTGCTACCCTTCTTAATTCCACCTGTATCATCTCCCCCCCCCCCCCGCCCCCTTACTTGTCTATGTAACCTGCTAGGCTGACAGGTGGTGTCCCAAATCCAAATTTCCTCAAGAAAGCCTTCTCCAGTAGATGCCTGGAAATACATCTCAAAACCTAGTGTCTCTAACGGTGGCAAGCCAGAAAGATGCATGAAATGTTCCCTCTCCACTCCTGTCTGGTGTCTTTCTCAATGGCTCCACCTTCCTCTTTAGACAATCCCGACAGTGTAGAAGTTTCCATCTCCCTTCCCTCTCCTCTCTCCCCCCCCTTTCACTTTCTCCCCCCTCCTAGGGCGCTTCCTGCCTGGAAACAAAAGATTGGTCCCCAGTAGCCCACTCAGGGCGATTTTACTTTTATGCTCACCATCTGATTGGCCTAGGTACGGTGCAGAGCCCAGGTGACGTCATAGCATAGGAGAGCTAGGGAGCGGTTGCTGAGCAGAGGGGCTCTACAGCAGGCAGGCAGCTGTGGCCGCAAACTGTCTGGGGTCTTACACTGGGGACCGCAGCTTTTCTCCTCTGGGAGTAAGTGCATTGGGCGAAAGAAGAGCCGTGGGGGGAGCAGCTGGGCCCGGGGCTGCGGCTGCGGCCGCTGGGCTGCAGTTCCCCAGCCCAACTGCCAGCGTGCTCCGAGGTACTGGAAAGGTCTTGGCAGGGTGGCTGGACCCTTGGCAGGTAAATCCCGCGACGTCTATACTGTACCGGGCTAGCTCGGGGGAGGGGAGGCTGCCGGGCAGATGTTCTTTCTTGTGTCCCCCTTTCTGCTCTTGCTGTGCCCCAGCTTTTGACTCTCCTGGTTCCATTGCCCAAGCCTTGGGACCCAGCGCACAGTGCTTGATGGGGTTTGCTCAGGCAGATGAGTGGGTGTGTCCGGGCTGGTCCTGAAAGACCTGGGCTTCTTCCCTTGGCCAAGCCTAGGGTTAGCTTACTGGGGTTTGGGCCGACTGGGGCAAAATCCACCGTGAAAGCTATGTCAGACTGTAAGTCTCCTACCCTCTTTCCATGCACCCCCCACCCCGCCCCAGCCACACTGTTGACAGCAGCCCTCCAGAGAAGGGGAGGGGGTGTGGCCGCAGTCTGGCCAAGTCTGCATAAGAACAACCGACTGAACCAGAAAAGTACCAAATTTCTTAAAAGGGAGCTTTCCTTTCTTTAAAAAAAAATTATCCCCCTCCTCCTTTCACTTGGGGGGATGGTAATGACAGGAGGACCTTTTTTTCCCCTCTTCTTTTTCTTCTTCTGTGGGGACTGAATGGATTCAATATGGTCCTTAGAAAAGGCTGCCCCCCCCGCCCCGTTAGCCCCTGTCTTTGTCTGAGGAGTGGGGGCCATTGAGTTTGCTGCTTTCTCCCTTCCCATTCCTCTGTAGCTCCCAGAAGACACTGCCCTCAGTTTGTGACCTGGCATGATGACTGGCATACTTCTGAGTGAACAGAACATTTTAGATTCAGGCTCTGGCAGGCTTTCCTTCCCTAGGTGGTGGCTGAGGATAGAGCGAGGGTGTTGGGGGAGTAGATGGTTCTTCTAAAGAAGGAACCAGAGGCTCCATTGGGTTGGGGTTTTGCTTGTTTGTTCCCACCTTCCAGAATCCAATTCCAAATTCTAGCCTGGAGGTTTCTGGGCTGTGTGGGCTGTAGAGGGAAGGGTGAGTGCCTGGGCTTTGGGAAGCATGATGGTTGCAGTGCTATTTAAAAAAAAAAAAGTGGCTTTCACCAGGAAAGTCCTTAGCCATGTTAGTTTTGCTCCCCTCCCCAATGGTTTTGCAGACTCAAAGCCAGGCCAACTGTATGGCTGTCTGAGGTGTTGGAACAGAAGGAGGTCCATTCCTGTTGGTGACAGCACTGTGGCCCTGTTCTAGGATGAGCCAGGTATAAAAGGTCAGTGTGGTTTTCACTGGGCCATGTGTAAAATTATAATTGGTCAGGATGTGTGATTTGGCGCTTGAGCTTCCAATCACGGGCACCTTTGAGTAAAGGGGCTCACTGTGGTAATGGACGTAAATGGATGATTAATAGGCTGGGATCTGGGACGAGAGCCAAATAGCCCTCCCCCTCCTCTTTTCTTTCTGGATACAAATGTCATACTCCTCTGTGTCCATGCGAGACACAACATGAAAAGAATCTGGATGGTATGCTGGGTTACAGCTGGCTGTTGGTAATCCAGAATCCAAAGAGACCTCAGGATGTCAAAAGGCAGGTTCTTTAAATCTCTCAACAGACAAGTAGACATTGTGATGAGACTGCAAGCAACGGGCCACAAGACCCCATGAACATCCGAGTGCTGATCATTCCTACAGGTTGTGGGATTTTTTTCCCTATTCAAAGGTGGGCATGATATACAGAGCAGTATACAGGTTTACTGAGGGTTTGGAAGAGACTGGGTAGTAGATTTATTTGATACATGAGGAAAGTGGGAAATGACTGTAAAGATGGCAGGGGTTCCCATTAGAGATTCTGCTATTATAAAGTCAGAACTAAGCACAAGGTCAAAAGGGATGACTAATACAAGAGAAATCAGATCTAGAAACCAGACTGAATACGTTGGGGCTAATGGAGTTGGTAGGAGCAGAGCTTTAGTGGGAGATAAAAAGCCAGCATCAATGCTGGAGCTCACAAGTCCTACTTTCTCTGGTGAAATGGGAATGGAAAAGTTTTGGTAGTCAAGACAGCGATGAATCAATCAAGGATTATAGGGGCCTTTTTCTTTTTTAAAGCTATTTAGAAAATCAATACCATTCCCAACTTTGTAACCCATTTCCAGGAACCAGTAATTTTAGTCAAGGAAATGAGAAGAAACTTGATGAGGAACAGTCTTAAACAAACAAACAAACAAACAAACACACACACACAAAGAATCTGTGCTTTCATTTTGGGTGAAAGAGAGCAAGGGATGAAGGACGAGTTAGGGCCAGGTTTGGGACAAAAAAAAGACAAAAAAAAAGATAAAAGGAAAGAATAAAGAAGAGAGGGAGAGGGAGAGGGAGAGGGACAGGGAGAGAGAGAGAGAGAGAGAGAGAGAGAGAGAGAGAGAGAGAGAGAGAGAGAGAGAGGAAATGTTTCTCAGGGCTCTCTGGGATCTTGTGGAGGATAAGTGTGGCTTTCCAGGCACCTGGGGCTCAGCTTAAGCTTTAGCTAAGCTCCCCCCACCCCGCAAACACATCCACACCTACACCTCTCAGGAGTTAAGTGGTTCCCTTGGTAGGGCCAGGGTAGAGTTCCAGGCCAAATCCTCACTAAATAGCTTTGCCAGCAGGGGGCGGAAAAGTAACCAAAGCGACTTACAGAACCCAAGTCCTCCATTTCAGGTGTGAAGCCCCAGCCTCAGATCAACTAAGAGCCATAGGTTTACAATCTGATTTAGCAGTGTCAGAGAACTAAACGAACCTCCAGGTCAATGTGTTCCCATTTCTTCCCAGAAATGTGGTGCTTCCTGCCGCGCTCTGCAGCGTAGGCACATGCTTTTACTTGTGATTACTTGAGTCACTAATATGCACAGCCTAACCGGGAGTTTAATTGGAAATGTTAATCAATGCAATAGATCCGTGTCTGATTTGCACATTCGGTCAATTATCTGCACGTTGGGACAATCTGTGCTGCACCCAGGGGATGCAACCAGGGGGTAAAACGGTACAGCTACAGCTGGGACTGGGGGTGGGAAGCAAAATAGGGGAAGTGGACCCTGAAGACTGAGAAGAAACAAATGATTTACTGGTGGAGAGAAGAATCATCTCAAATGTATTTTCACAGAGAGGTTGGATCATGAGGCAAATGGTCCAGAAGCTCACAGAACTGAGGGGAAGACAAGGTTTTCTGTGGTGTAGAAGCGGGTTGGATATGGAGAAAGAATTTTTTTTTTTTTGTGGAGTGGGCAAGGCAGAAGCTAGTATAGCCTGAAACTTGGAAATCAGAAATCAGATGTTCTTGGCTGAATGCATCGGGTACTAAGTCCTGTTTCCTTGACCTTCAAATGATGGTAGTTACATCGGGTGTTCTCCACTCTGGCGGGAACATTTTAGGAAGTGGATCCTTTTGTACTTAGTGGTTAAGATAACTGCCGAAGTACAGACCTTCTGCAACAAAAGAAAATAGCCCTTAATATCACTTTGCATTTTGTATGTTCTCCAGTTTAGGGAAAGCCAATACAAAACAGGTATCCACACATTTCATCTTTTATCTGTGTAACTTTACTTTTATTTCATGTGAATGGGGAACATGTGGAAAAGGAGAAGCCCAATTCTGTATTTGCTGGGAAACCTATAACTAAGCCCCAGAAAAGCTCTGTATCTTACTTTTTATAGACAGATCAGAGAGAGAGGCACTACTGTTTTAACTCCTTAATGCAGTCTCAAAACAGAAGGGGTTTGGACTGAAGATAAAGATGGGGGGAGGGCTTCCAGAGGGAGTTCTTTTCCCTCATCTCTATCTGAGCCTTGAGAATGCTTTGGAATTCTGCACCCTTATACAGACCACTATCTCTGACAGCACAATATCGCCCTCTAGTGGCCACACTAGAGACATCTTTCTCAGCTCTTGATTGCTATCCCATGATCTCTCCTACTCTTGCACAGCTCTCACTACTGGTAAGCAAAGGCACATTCCTTCTATTAAGACTGAAGGAGTAATTTAGGAATGTGCAGCCTCCTTTAGGGAGTTCTTCTTCAGTGTGAGCTGGTTTAAAGAGAGGGGTACCACTCTCCCCCCTCCCATTTTCTTCTTTTTCTTTGAGCCTGAAAAAGGAACCAGGAGCTTTCCCCAGAAATATTTAGTGCTACATAAGACACTTGCCAAAGGTTCTGGGGAAGAGAGCATAATTGTCATAACTTCCTTTGATCTGCATCCCAAGGTGATAGTTTTAGTCCTTAGACAGGAATTCCGGCAAGAAGCTAAAAATGTGTCAAGGAAAGACAAGTTAGATATTATAAGATGTGTGCATCCATATTTCCCAGCTTCCAAGAGGTCTGAACTATAGGCAAAAAGCAAGGCAGCAGAACTGAACAGTATAATGTAGCTATGCAACACTTACCACTCTGTACAGACGAACAACATGGCACAGACTATATGCGCTGCACACTATGAATTAAACACATGGCATATACACATGCATGTACCATGCATGGTAGAGATCCAAACATATACATCACATTACAGAAATACAGTGCATACTGACAAGATAAACATACCCAGCATGATGTAAACACAGCATCGTAAATATAATACAATGCAGGTTCAGGATAAACACAACATAGTATAGGTATGACTCATCAATATACACAGACACCTTTAACCATGTAAGGAATAGCACAAATATACAGGGCCCAGCTTTTGCTAGGATACAAAATACCCTATGCTCAAAATAGGCTCTCAGTAAGCAAGGAGTGAGT